GTCCTTAAAATAAGTGGTTTTGATTGGTCCCAAGTCACAATTGCCGATTTTTGAATTCCTAAAATAATTTCCAATTTTGACTTACTGTTACGTATATCCAAATTTCAGGGTCCAAATGTTGGGAAAATACAAAATTTGAACCAATAATATTGCTTGCCAAAATTTTTTGATTTTTGGCGTTTTTTATAGTTCATAGAATCAATTAGAGCTCGCAGGTTTGTTTGCATTTGTCTTATTTTTTTTTTTTTTTTTCTCCCCATATATAAATAACAAAGAACTATAAATTTTACTATTCCGGGAATATATATCCAGGCGATCGAAAAAATAGCATACAATTGTTAGCCTTAGGTGAAAGGAGATTTAATGCATTATGAAAAAAATAAATGCCAATTAGATGAGAAATAGGATTTTATTCATGCTGGAGTAAGTTTATATGATTTGTCACAAAAATGTCAAGAATAACAAACAAACCTGTGCGACAGCGGGATGGGTAAATAAATAATATGCAGGATTATTAAAAATGTTTATAATATAAAATTTGATACAAGACGAATAAATTATAAAACGGTAAAATGTGTTAAAAAGAACACTTACTAACTAAGTCCCATTATACTTTAAGAGTTACGCCCACAGTATACAACAAATAAGCATGCACCTGGTTTTTTGCCTGTATCCTTCCATAACCAATTAACTGCCACGATATTCATTGATAGTCGGCACAACAATTTCGGGAAAAAATCGAACTTTAAATTAGTGTATTTAGTTGGTTTGACATTATGCAGGGCTCATATGCAATGGTGAGCCGCCAGCTTATGTAAATTACAAGCATTGCCGATGACGAAATTTAAACCTCGTGACTGTCTGGTTGATTGATACTTTTTCCGCATGTTGTTTGTTTGTCTGTGCGCGTAAGTCAAGGAACTTCTGTTTGGGGATAATGGCTAGGTAAGGGGATAATTAAAACATCGTATATATAACATGTATATACCTATATTATTATTATTACTATTATTATTACAATCAACTTGATGTGAAAAAAAAAAAGCGATGATTGACCGTTAAACTATTTAAAGAGGTCAGAATTCCTTTCATGGTTAGTTGCTGACAAGATTGACGATTTTGAACATTGACGCCGTTTATAGAGGTGAAAAACGGGCCGTCAAATAAAATAATCACAAAACCTATAGAATTAAGGTGTTGTTGGGTAAAATCCATAAATTCTTACATAAGATCTTAAGTGCAAATATAGCTTTTTTTTTGGTTTTTTTTTTTTTATATAAAAAAAAAAAAAATTATTACGCCGCTTAAGGACTCTAAACGAAGATCTCACACCGCCATTTTTTAATTTGGGTGACCGCATGACACCTAGAATTCAGAATACATTCTGCTCTCAGGGCAACTGGTCTCCAGAAAGTCCAGAGAGATATGTCACAAGGTTGCCTCTAAAAATGGCGGCCGACGTAAACATCAGCGAAATAGAAATATTAATTTTCTGTAATGATGATTTACGTCTGGCAACATATCTTGTTGCCATGTTACGAAAAAAAGACGCCCGGAATATTCGATTATGTTACCCCGCACACCTAACACAAGTATGATTATTAATTGTTTATTTATTTAATCTGTGTATGCTCACGTATTAATTTTAGTTCTTTTTTAAGTATGCGAATATTATGGATGCGATCGGGATCCCAGGTTGTTGGGAAACACAGGCTCAATATGAATGGAGTGTATCTAGTATGTTCTTTCATTTACATTTTCTTCTACATATAAATATATATATATATTTTAAAAAAAAAATTTCCATAGATGCGGTTGTGGTTATCAGTATGCTATATAATAATTTTGAAAAGCAGGAAATGCTTCTCAATGCGTGCATTAGCCAAAATGTTTCCTTATACATTACCTGGGACTCTGGCATGGAGCTGGAACCTTATGTTTCGGATAAACGATGTCCGCGAACTCGATTGCATAAACGTTTAATCGACCACCAAGCAAAGGTGGACAAGCATCATGGATCAATGCGATGGATCTTATTTCAAGTGGGTATTTTTGACGAAGAAGTGCTTAAGCACGACATTTCGACCATCACAACGGCGTTCAACAGTCCAAATCAATATATTTTTTTAAACGTTACGGTCAAAGAAGATTTGGCACAGTTGGTTGCCGAAGCTATCGCGTCAGATAAAGTCCTACCTAATAGAAATTATGTAGTCGGAGATTTCGTCGCTCACACGTTTCTTGGTCATGTCTATCAAGTTGCAAATAACGGTAATTCTCTGCCTTCTTTATCTTCAGAAATTTCTTGTTTTTCCTCACCATCGCTTTGATTGTTCAGGAATGCAATTGGATAATAACATGCCCGCAGACATCTCTGAGTTTGAAACAACAAACCAATTACGTTTATCCGGAATAGTTTCTGCTCGACCCCTGCCCAGAATACTTTATCCTGGGTGTAGTATTTTTTTTCATAAATTAGGCATCGAGATTTCATTTCAGCACGATGCCACGATTTATCGACTGCTGAAACATCATAAGCGTACACCCCTGAAAGATTGGATCCGAAACAGGATCTTTTACCAGTTACACTGATCGCATTACTCTCCCACCTCTTTGCATATGGAATTAATCAAGAAATTAAGATTATGATAGGCACGTTACAACACATATGTTGAAAGGAAAGCTGTACAAAGTATACACTTAGTTACGATTAGTACAATAACGATAACAAATAAGCAAATAAGCAATATATTAAGATAATGTTAAGATATGTATATTATGTAATTATCCCATATGAAATAAACAAGGAAATGATTTGCTGCACATCAAAAATTATTATTTGTACGTACAGTAGGTACGTACGCACTGATGCTTCATATTATCGTTTGCAGCAACAAATTTAACCATTTATATTTTCAAAATTGGTTACTCAATATCGATATTATTTCGATCCCTTTGACATAACGGAGACCATTAAAAATTAAAGGGACTATACATATACTAATAAAAATTAATTAGGTTATACAAAATTAATTTTTTTTGTATGGCCTTATTAGACAAAATTGTGAATTGCTAACAGTTAAGACACGCATTTTACCTTTATATTATCGTCCAGACAATAATTTTGTGTAAACACATATAACCTTTACGATTAGCATAAAAATCTATGCTAAATATATAGCAAACAATCCATATATATCTACTATAAATTTACAATTAAAGCATAAGTATTTAACAAAAACATAATAAAAACATATAATAGGTGCAAAACCACCATACGTGCGTTTTATAATAATTGTTTTTGTTAGTCTTTTTTTTTAGAGTTTAAAGATAGTTTTATTAATAAAAGAGTACAAGTAAATTTTAGTAGATATTATAGATTTAAATAGAAATATCCAATCTTAGCTTCAGCCAATCTCGTCTTCAGCCCCCAAAACCCTTTCCAAACCCTAATACTAACCTTAATGTTATATATAAAACTTATAAAAACTTAGAAAATTTTA